TCTTTCCCTGCCGCCCTAGGGGCTCCTTATGCCGAGGGTAAGGACTTTATATCCCACTCCCCGTTACACTCACTGTGCCCATCGCTACACCCGGAGTCCAGGGGCGTTTCTAGGCTGACGAACGACCCCCTCCTCCCCAACACACGAATATACGGATAGAGGCGTGATGTTGCGAGGCCCGAAGTGAGAAAGTTGAGCATAACCAACCAGGCCACAAGGGTTCCACGTTCCATTCGTGAACAGAATCCCCCCTCACCCCTTCTCCACTTGGCTTGCTCCAGCCCTAGACCGAGGCAGGGCGGGAGCGGACGTGGCCCCGCCAGGCTGGGCCCAGCGAGCCCGAACCTGCCCGACCCGGCCGGTCCGGAGCAGAGCAACGCGGGACCCCACACGATGCCACGATGCCTCCCAGTCCTGGCAGTCGGAGAAACTAGGGAATCCGGCTTAAAGTCACTTCTTCCAAAAGGCAGTCCTGGCCCCCTCCCCTAACTAGCGCCCCTGCCGCTTTCTTTTCAGAGCAGTTCCATTGAGCAGAAGTTAAGTATCTGCACCGAGCAGCGAGCGATTTCGCGCCCCCGGCGCGTATTTACTGAGCATCTACTATACGCGTTAGGCGCTGTGCCACCACCACAGTGAGCAAGCAGAAACCCCTGCCCTCGCGGAGCTTCCCTTTTCTGGGACACGAGAGCTGAGATGGGGTACATAGGAGGCCGCCACCCAGGTGCCCTCTCAGGTGAGCAAAACGCGCGTGAGGTGCCACCCTGGTGCCTGTCGGCGGGTAGACTTCGGCGGTGGGGGCGCGTGCGCAAAGCCGAGCCCTGACCCGGCCGCGGAGTTGCGGTGCCCGGTATCTAGTTGGCGCTCGGTAGATATCGTGAGCGCAGCGAGTCAGGCCTCCTGCGGCCTGAGCGCACCGCGGGGACGGGGAGGCCTGCCCCGGCCCTGCAGGCTCCTCCCCGGCGGGGTCAGTGCCGGACTTGCCGCGGCGTCCGGGCCCGGCGTAATTACAGGGGCTGTCGCCAGGCCTGGCTGTAAAAGAGGAGGATGAAACGGCCTGGGAACCGGAGAAGCTGGGCCGGAGCCCGCCGGGGGCCCTGGGTCCGCGGCTTCCCGCGCTGCGCAGCTGCCGGGAAAGGCCGGCCACGGGTGCACCCGGACACTCGCTACACCAATCCGGGGTGCGCACTCGGCCACCAAAGCACGCAGACACACAGCGTTCGGCTCTCCCGCTCCAGGCACAAGCACGAGCCTAATCAAACACCTGCCCGCCCTCTCCACCCGGGGCCGACACCGCCCGCCAACCCCGCTCCAGACAGCGGCGGATCCCGGCGGCGAGAAGAGCCCGGAGAGGCGAATTCCAGAGGGTTTGTTTACACGGCGCGGGGGAGGGGGCCAGCCGGGCACTGGGGCCCGACGGACTGGGGGACCCAGCTGAGACGAGGCCAGGCCCCACCCGCACTGCACGCTCGTACACGCTTCCCCTCCTCTTCACACGCCGCTCAGGCATTAGCATACGTATGGCAGAGTTTCGCACGCTTCCACACACGCGGCGGTGACATGCCCACAAATGCTTTCACACTTGCGCGCCATCACACGTATTTACACACGCCAGATGCACATGTGTGGTTACAGTTTGTCACCCCTTCTGCCCAGATTCTCACACTGCATATTCGAGAGCCTGTTCGCACGGTACGCACGTGTCGCCACGACATACTAACAGGTCATTAGTGCCCTTTGGTGCATCTGGAAACAAACACGGACCCCCTCGCGGGCCCACGGTACCACGTGTCCCTTTCGCGCTCAGGCACCGATGGACAGAGGCGCCTTGAGTCCCGGCCGCACACGTTACACACTTGGTCACACACAGCGTCGCACTTTATTCCTGGCATCTAGGCGATGACACAATCTCCCGAACAAAGACAACATTGACAAACCCAACAAAAACAAACAGCCGCGTGTGTGTGGGGAGGGGCCGGGAGCTCAGAGTCCGGGAAGGGGGGCAGGAGGAGAGTGTGGGAACGCGGACTCGCAAGCCCGGGTGTGCGAGGCTTGGGAAAGGTGCGGGACACTTCCACAACCTCGCACCCCGCCAGGGCCGCGCACTGCCACGCGGGATCCCGCACCCACGCGTTCGCAGACCCGCACGTGCGAGTTGGTCCGGTTTTCCAGCACACTACGGCGCCGCGGGGCTTAACCCACCGCCCGCCACCGAGCTTCGCGCAGACCCCCCAAGTGGGCGAACGCTCTGCGCTGAGATCAGTGGAGGCGGAGGAGCGCGCGGTCCGCACCCGACACCTCCTCCCCTGCCCCTCCTCTACCTCCCCCCACCTTCCCCAGCCCCCAAGCCCCTGGGCAGCCGCGCGCCGGGCGGGGCAGGGGGCGGGGAGCGAGGCGGGGTGTCGGGCGG